AAAAAAACTCACTTTTACAGCTTTATGCAAATCCATAACGTCTCGCTTTGTCGGTGTTTGCATCAAGGCAACTAAAATGGAGCTTTTCAAAGCAGAGGAGTATGTGGACTTTTAAGAATTATATTCGTTTCAGCAGTTTTTCTGCTTTGCTTTGACGCGGTACATCAAACGTTCACTTGATGTTGGTTGCAGAATCACATTATAGGGATTTAAAAAGATAGAACGTGTTGCAAAAGGGCATGAAAATGGAAAAAAGAAGATTGAAACTAGTTTCGGGCATTGAACAAATATTGAAATTGTTTGATGTAGCTGCAATCGGTTTTTTTCGAAAAAGAAATTCTTACAAAAGACGTCTTTTTTTAAAGACTATTAGCTTTTGTTTTTACAGATTCGTGGCGGGAAAGTTTGTACGTATCTATACTCCATGAGTGTTTGCAAAGACTCAGTGGTAGGTACAACAGACAGGTACCGTGATTTTTTCATTTACGTTGAAAAATCGAAAAGCAGAAAAGTCGCAGGTTCAAAGAAAACAGGTTCAGTATTTTTTTGGAAAGCTGAAACTTACTGATAACGTCTTCGAGATCTCCTGAAAGTTCCCTCTTTAGCTCAGTTTCTAGATCTTTACCATAGCGAGTTTTGTACGGGGTGCGTATCTGAAAGCAAAAAAATAATTACGTTGATGGACCAATAGTGTCATGGTTTTTATTCAAGTGCGATCAAATCATGCCTGTCCATTCATAAAGGCGAAAAATTGAAAATATGATAAAAACTATGGCAGAGTATGGAAGAATGCTGGAGTGACATCAGTACTTTTGATGCTATTTGGATTGAATTTGCCGAAGGATTACCACGCCGCTTTCGCTCTACTTGAGTTTATAAAATTAAAAATCATTTTTCCTTCTTCGCGAGTAATTTTACAGCAGCTATGCGTGATCTGACGTATCGCATCGCAGGCGGCACATTTGCCTTTTTGCTTTGACAAAAGTAGAGTGACAGCGCACGACTAAGGTCCTAACTGGAAATACTCTGCCAGCATTTCGCCGACAGGAATGCGCATAATACAACCCTTATTCAAGTCCCACGTTCACATATTCTATGTGCTTTGTCCATTTTTGATTGTGTGTTTTTCTCCATACCATTTTCTTGTATGATACAGATCGCTCAACGATAAAGTAAGTGCATAATCAAAACTCGTACCATTTGACGTTGAGCATTGTTACATTTGACGAGAATATCGACTACACGCTGTTTGTCCGTTCCATATCCTCTCATCGCTCGTTCGAGCGATTCTGCGGCTCGTTCCTCATCGAACGATGCCGACGGATGGATCGTCGCTTGCATCTGAATGGAGTCAATTAGTTGAAGGATGTGATATTAAGCAAACTCTGATTCGAGTTAGGGCAGTCCTCCAAAAAAGTTGATCAAGAGGGAAATCTTAAATATGGAAGGCGTATCAAACTCCTTTCCAAAAGTGTGGTATCCACACAACAAACTTCTGCTTTCTTCTGGTAAGACTATGCTCCAAAAAGGTGAATTACTAGGTTTTCAGATAAATACATTGCGGTAACAGGTTAATAGATGAACACGTCGCAAATCCGTTCGCAATGCAATTTGAACTCTACTCGATCTTTCCTATTTCACACATATTCGACAGACTCGATCCCATGTAAGGCCTCGGGCAGAGTCCACTCAATTTCATAGCCGCGATTCTTCCACCAAACAAACAGTACGAGTCTATTGCATGCCGAT